CTATAACCCTAATCATCCATGGAGGCTGAGAGGATCAGGGGAAAGAATGGGCTAACACTGGCACTGTGGAGCGCTTGGAAGAGGGAAGTGGTGACGTTACTTGGGCCCAGTAAGAATCTGCCTTTGATCAGAGACAGATTCTACTTGGCTGAGCATAAGAAGAGGTCTCTTTCTTCTTCTCTGAGATACTGGTTCAGGCTTCAAATTAAAATGATGATCAGTCATTTTATTCTCATGGGTAAGTTCCAGAGCCTTGAGAAAGCAAATTCGGTTTTCATTTTCTCACTTGTTAAATAGGGCTGATTAGACCCCACCAGGGGGCTGCTGTGAGACATTAAAGGCATAATGGTGGAAACATAGTATAGAGGGAGTAAGTAAATGGCATAGTTCTGGGGCAGCTATTACAATTTGCAAGAATTTCATTTGTTGTGTCATTATTGTTACAAAGAGAAATGCCAATCAAAGATCCAAGAATGAGCTGGGGATGGTGGTACCTTCCTGTGGTCCCAATTCACAGGGAAGATGAAACAGGAGTTAGAGACCAACGCTGTGGGAAGAGTGAGGGAGAGACAAAGGGGACGGGGCAGGACAGAATGTTTATTTCTCTGCTTTCTCACATGTGTGGGAGGGTCGGGTTGGAGTGAGTGCTTGTTGGGTGAGGACTACAAATGCCCATTTCTGTGCATGTGTCTGGAAGCCAGAGGTCAGTGTCTTCTTCAATTGCTGTCTGCTTTAGTTTTTGAGACAGGGTCTCCCACTGAACCTGAAGATCATCTGGCTAGCAACCCCCAGAGAGTCTCTTGTCTTAGTTTTCCCAGTGCTAGAATTGCTGCTGTACCTGGCTTTTTGTTTCTTACGTGGATGCTAGGGATATGAATCTAAGAACTCGTGCCTAAGCAGCGAGCATTTTGTTTTGTTTTGAGACGGGGTTTCTATGTGAGACGGTCCTGGCTGTCCTGGAATTTGCTTTGTAGACCAGGCTGGCCTCAAACTCAGAGATCCTCCTGCCTCTGCCTCCCAAGTGCTGGGATTAAAGGCATGTGTCACCACCGCCCAGCTAAGCAACAAGCATTTTAATGTCTATCTATCTCCCCAGTTCAGAATTTTCATTCTCTGTCCCATCACAGGGAGCTGAACTAATCTTGTCAATCCATAACTCTGACTGATCTGTATTCTTAGAGTAGTTCTGGGGACAATCTGGGCTAACAGAACATCAGGCATTCATGTGGAGGCATGTGGGCATCTGGTCTACCTGTAACTGGCATGGGCTGGTCCTGATCCATCCTACCTGATCACACTGCTCCACACAGGAAGAGTGGCTGCTTCTCTACTTCCAGTAGAAAGATCCTTCAGTTCTACTTGGGCTTAGAACCATGTTCATGTTCTTCTTGAATGTGTAGCATACCCAGGCTACTTGATGACATGAGGATCTATGAGCTCAGTAGGATCTACATGTGCCCTCCCCATAGGTCCTGCCACTCCCCAGAGCATGTCATGAAAAGGGGCACAAATTTCTGTATCCCTGAACTGTCCTTGACCACATTACCCCCTTCTGTCCTTCTAAAGTTGGATGTAATCAGTGCCTTGGGCTAAAACTCACATTCTTGTGGCTCTAGAGCCTAGGACTTTCACACTCAAATATCTTCTGAGGGGGACACTATAGATAGCATTGTTCTCCAGATTTAATTTATGTCCCTGACTGAATGTACAAACAGTAGGGGAAAGGGCAAAGGCAAGCTGGATAGGGAGGTAACTAAATGTGCTTCCCCACTGCATTATAGTTTGCTGAGAAAGGAAAACCAGGAAGTACCAAAAAACCTGAGGGGTTAACATCTCTCCAAGATTATGCTTCCAGGTCCCTCCCTGAGGTCTGATCATGCCCTCCTGGGATACAAGGGGCGCTCTTTCCCAGCACCTAGAGGAGTGCCCTCACACACACCTGGATCCTGCTCTGTGTATAGAACAGATGGCACGTTCCATCCACCCCTCCCACCTCCTCCTACCCCCTCCCACCCCACACCATGTAGAAGGCCTCACCAGACCTACAGCCTACATGACCTGTTGTCTTTTTGATCCCACCTCATCAGCACCCCTATTGAGCATGCTCCAGTGTGCACCAGCCAGGCCACTACCCCACTGCTGCCTGCTTCTGCCCAACCGCCTGCTGCTGCCTCTCCCATTGCGGCCTCGCCAACCCTGGCTACAACTGCTGCTGCCCATGTTGCCACTGCCTCCGCTGCAGGTCCTGCCTCAAGCCCTGTGGAGAGTCCGAGGTAACTGGTCCACAGATGACAGACATAATATTGCGAAAAGGTGGCAAGAAAGAACCCACCCTAAGTCTCTTTGTGGGCAGCTAGGTCCAAATAGTCAAATCTCTGATGTTTTCCAAGGAAGCTAAGCTTGGTGCAGAGTGTGAAGGGGAAGTCGGGATGTATTTTGTGGGGTACACCAGCCATGATTAGTGAAAGAGTGTTGTTGTTGCTCTGGTCCCCCAGGGGAACATCCCTAGTAATAGATAAACAGTCTTTGTTCTTAGAACTCAGAAAGGGAAGATGATAGTCATCCCATGGGCTGGAAGAAATCAAGGACGACTCCTTGGAGGTGGGAATGTTGAACTAGTCAGATCAGGCAGTTTAGCTACTAACCTGCCCACCGCCTCGACCTTTCTTCTCTTGATGTGGAAACTTCAGAGGTCCCTAAAGTAATGGGATTTAAATCTCTGTCTCTCAGTGCAGAGCTTTACTCTTTGAAACCTTGAAAGAGTTATTTAACCTCTGAACCTATTTCCTCATCAGTTAAGATGTCTAAAGAAGTACATGTATATTGAGGTCACTATTGGAAAGATTTGCTCATAAAACACCTCAAACACATAAAACACCTAAAATAAGTACTTTGAATTCCTGCACCTCAGCCTACCTTCCTGGGCACCCAACAAAACAGAGGCCAAAGGAAGGGGGCATGAAGGGAGGAGGAAGAGAGAAGCTGCGTGGGTCACTCCCAAGCGGCCAGCTGGTACAACAACAGGGCTGGCCCAGTTGTCTTTCCAGGCTTTCAGGAACTACTCAGTTGTCTTCAGTCAGGACCCATATTTCCCAGCCCCCAGGGAAAGTATGCCTTTTTGGGTCAGGGGTATAGGGTCACGGTGCAGCCTGAGGCAGCTTCCCAGCATGCCATGTGGTGCCAAGCCCAACCTTTCTCCAACCCAACTCAATCACTGAAAGTGAGCCTGGTCCTGGCTTCCAGAGTGGTTCTGTCCCATTTTCCTAGGATAGGCTTAAGCAAACTGCCTCCCCTCGTCCCCTCAGACTCCCTTCTCATTAGGGTCTTGCTTCCTTCACAGAGCAGGGACTCTGATGAAAGATGAGAAAGCTTCCAATTTGCATAGACAGGGAAAGAGAAGTGCTTAGTGCTGAAGCCAGATGAGCAGTCTAACCCCAACCCTGCCTCTCACTGAAGGGCAAACTCCAGCTCCACGCTCAGTCCTCCACCTGTGGGCCTGCCCACTCACTGCCGATGGCCTCAGGATACCCCCATGAGAGTGAATTCTTCATTTTCGTTACCTTACCAAGAGAGCAGAGATTATCCCATAGGGCCTTGGGCTACACCAGGAGGACCAGAAACCTCCCTTCCTTACACGTGGGTTCAAAAGGAACTGGAGCTAGAGTTGCTCCTTGGATGCACATTTTGGCCCTTCACCAGATGTCTTCAGTTTCTGCCTCCTTTCCTCAGGCCAATCCAGGATACTGGCAAAGTATCCCCCAGGGATGGGAAAGTCTGGCCATGACCGGCTGACCTGTAGCCATATCCAGACACACAGAAGCTGGGTACCCTTTGCATACAGTGTCTTCCTCTCCACCAATGTGCTTACCCCTCTGCCTTTAGCACAGGGATTCAGACACAGAAGGGCAAGGGAAACCTTAACTATAAATGTGTTGGGAAGGGAAGGATGCACAGCTCCCGGGTCTGGGATGCCAGCTCTGAAGATTATCTTTCCTTGCCTGGGACAGTATCCAAACTGCCCTGGATCCATTCAGGTAACTGGTGACAGGTTGTTATGCCAGGGCCATCCCTCCAATCCTTCATCCTACAATTGGCCCAGCAGGTCCAATGGGCCATAGGAAAGAGATGGAAAAAAAAAACAGAGGTGCTAAAGGCTGGGGGTATAGTTCTCCAGTACCCAACCAATGACCCATTTGCTGGGTATTGTCAGGTGTCCCCTTTAGGATATATAACATATAAGAAGAGAAAGGTATTCATTAATTTGAAATGAAGAAAAGGGTTTTACAAAAGACTGAGATGGGAAACACTGCAGGAAGTTCCTGCAGCTGTGAGCTCCCCCAAGAGAGGCCAAGTTGAGCATTTCCTGAGGGCAAAGAACTGGGACACTTTCACACACACACACATCTCCTTGCTGCCATTGTCCCTGAGCCACATATGGGAAAAGGCTGCTTGCTCTAGGACCTTGACAGTTGAGCCAATAGGAGGAAGCAATGGGAATTGTCTGAGAAGTAGAGTGGTTTGCTGGGGCGCTGCTGGGACTCCTCACTTTTTCCCATGAACATTGTCAGAACTTTTTTTCCCCAAAAAAACATGAGAATAATTGCTTCCTCCAGCAGCAACATAAAGGAATGAGATGAGACCAGGTGGCTAGGGCATCCACAAAGTAGAGTAGCTGTGACCATCTCCATCTCCCTTCCTGCCCTCTGCCTTGGTCCACAGTCCTACCACTACAATTCCCTCTGTGGATGAAGCACTCTCTCTCATTGTGTTCTTTTGTCTGGCTGGTACCTTCCCTCCCTCTTTCCCAAGGCAGCAACACTAGCCGCAGGAACTAGTTTGCTCCCTCTAAGACCCTGTGACTTCTTCATAGACTCTGGAAACTATCCAATGGGTGTTTCTATCATGGTCCTGCCTAGAGATCAGACAACAAACCTGCCATGGCTTTAGGTACCAGAGACCAGTGGACTGTTCTTGTTATAACACTTCTGTCTTGGTTTCAGGCCACAAGCCTCTGCCTACAGCCCTGCAGCAGCCACTTCTCCAGCACCCTCTGCCCACACCAGCTACAGTGAGGGTCCAGCTGCCCCTGCACCCAAGCCCCGGGTCGTAACCACTGCCAGCATCCGGCCTTCTGTCTACCAGCCAGGTGAGAGTCAGAGGGAAGTGAGGGCAGGAGTTCAAAGGGTCATATGCACCAGGCCAAGATGCAGAAGAGACAGAGACTTAATTCTTCTTTCCCTCCCCTGGTTATAGGGTAGAATCCTAGGGAGGCTTCAAGCCTGTGTTTGATCTTGGAAGACAGGTGGGCTGTACCAGGCAGGGCTGGAGCCATCTAGCTCTTGGGTTAGGGACAGTCATGGCTGGATGTTTCCAGACTGAGTTGAGAGAAAAGAGGGCCGGGGTGGGAGAACAGGGTGGCAGAAGTACAAAGCTGTTTCTCCAAGAATCTGGGTCGGCCTCAAACTGGAGGACAAGAAACTATAACAGAAATGCCCCAGGCTTTAGGCCAGCTTACTGTGTCACTTTGCCCTTTGAGCAAGCTGCTCAACCAGTCTAGTATGTGTTTTCCTCAGGTGACACAGGAGAGCTGGGGCACATGTGGCATAGCATGTCTACTCATAGTAGACCCAAGACAGAACTCATTGGTTGCAGTCCTGTCTCTGGTCCCTTCCAGTCAGTGCCTAGAGTTTTATTACAGTGCTGAGAGATAGCTTATGTCTTCTAATTTCCTAAGCAGAGTCATCCCAAGGTAGTTCTCAGGCTGGTGCATGGCCCACTTTCCTGTCAGCCATTGCTCCAAGAACCCAAGGGTTCTCTAGCAGGTTTTTTTTTTTCTTTTTTCAGGTTATAGGAAGGTCCCATATACTCTGGCTCTGCCTATAGGAAGGCCCTTGATATCCAAGCCCTGAGTCTAGTCACTGTGTTTCTTCCTGTTGGGTTCTGATCCTGAACTTTAGGAGGGCAGAGCTGTGGTACATTTTCTCTTCTGTATATGCCTGACTCGAGCTTGCCATGAGTAGACATCCAACAAAGGTGTAGAAAAATAAACAAGGGCTAGAGGCATATTCTTGGTAGTAGAGTGTGTGCCTAGCATATGTGAGGCCTCTGAGTTTAATTCCTAGCAACACACACACACACACACACACACACACACACACACACACACACACACACACAACAGGCAGGCAGGCAGGCAGGCTGGTGGGGAACACATTACAGAGTCACAGAGAGGCCATGAGCTTGCATTCTGTACTCTGGCAGCTGTGAACACACAGTGAATGAGCCTTAAGTATTCTTATAATGATCACTTGGTGTCCATTCCATGGGTGGATAACATAGGATTGTAGGTGGGCATATGATTTCCACTTAAACATTATACCTTCATAGCCAGGCAGTGGTGGTACACACCTTTAATCCCAGCACTCAGGAAGCAGAGGCAGGTGGATCCCTGTCAGTTCAAGGTCAGTGGGTCTACAGAATGAGTTCTGGGACAGCTAGAGCTACACAAACAGACCCTGTCTTGAAAAACAAAAGCAAAAAAAGAATAAAACATTATGCCTTCGGCAAATAATTATTGTCATCATGAACTTATAGAAAGCAATGATGATTTTGCATTTACTATTATAATACAAATGTTTTTCTCTCCTCAAAATTATTATACACATATAATTTGCTTTGCTTTTGAGACAGGGTCTCTCTATGTAGCCCTGGCTGTCCTGGAACTAGCTTTGTAGACCAGGCTGGCCTCAAACTCAGATATCCACCTGCCTCTGCCTCCCAAGTAGTGGGTTTAAAGGCATGTGCCACCACCGCCCAGCACACATAAAAATTTTAACAGATGTTTTGTGTGTTTGTTTGTTGGCAGGGTGGCTCATGTAGCCCAGGCTGGCTGTTGATCCTCCTGCCTGGACCTCCCAAGTACTGGGATTATAAACATGTGCCACCACACCCAGGTTTTTATAGACTTTTTAAAGAACAGTTTTCAGTTCACAGCAAAATTGAAGGGAAGGTGTCATTTCCCAAATATCTGTTCCCCTCACCATGCACACAGCCCCCCTTTTCCAATGCACATACCATTTACAGTATACTGATGAAGGGAGTAACAGACATGTTTAGGAAAGACATGGGTCATTTCAAGGAAGAAGGACTTGTGTTCTAGAAGTGTGGACTGGCCAAGCAGCCTTGTGGTAAAATACAGCACTGTCCTGTTAAGGAGTAAGACCCTAGGAAGTATTTCTCTGGGGGATCTTGCTTGGGGAAGTACACACTTGTTGAGTGGGGCAGAAGTGACATAATCAGCCCCCTGATGTATAAAGCTCACTCACCGACAGAATTGTGTGGACAGGACTTATTTTAGCTTGGGAGAAACACCCAGCCTGCCATAAGTAATAGGCAAACTACTCATCTCTGAGACCTTAACTTTCTCATTTGAGTAAGATAGGAGGGGTCTCTACAGATGAAATGTCTCCAGCTTGATGTCTGGTGTCTGATGTCTGTCACTTCTCGGCTACGGAAAGTTCGGAGGTCAAAAACGCCACAGACTGAAGTGGCATTTTGGAAGGGGGTCGGTACAAATCTATGTAGGAGACAGAAAAAAACTCCCAGGTGCCGACTGGACACACAGGAAGTAGCTTGCAGAAGGAGGATGGGGTAGTGTCAGGCGCAGGTGAGACCTTGTGCTTGCACAAGGAAGCCCTTTCCGGGCAGCACCGCCCGGGGCTTCCGGCACTTTCTCTGGCCTGTCCTCAGTAGGCCCGCCAGAGGGCGGCCCGGCTTTCCAGCTGCTCCTCTTTCCAGCTTTGGCCTAGGCGGGCCAGACGTGCCGGAGCCCAGGCCTCTTCGTGGTTCCCTGGCGGTGCAGACGTTAACTCATTCCTGCCTGGAGCAGAGGAGAGGCCTGCCTCCACCCTTCCTTCTCAGGGAGGCCGGGCTGCCAACAGGCTCCGGGGGCGGCTGACAGTCTGCCAGGTCCGGGGGCAGTGCGTGTCTGCGCCCCACTCCGCTGCCGGGCTTCGTGAACCTGGGCACCGCCGAGCACTAGCAACCCGCTCGTGGCCAATCCCCGGCCGCAGCTTCCGGCTGGCAAAGGCAGGGTGGCATTCGCGCTGGGATCTTATCTCTGGCGCCGGGGCTGGGCGTCCGCTCGCCAGAACACCTGGGGCCGGGGCCTGCTTGACCAGTGGGCGGAGGACACTGTGGGCCCGGGGACGGCCACGTTGGCCCGCGGGCCGGGCGGCGACCGGGGCGCTCGCTGAGGACCTAGCCCGGGCCAGAGTGACTCAGATCACCTAGTTTAATTACACAGTCCCGGGCCGGCGAGTGCGATAGGAACCTTTTGAACGTGCCAATTAGAGATGAAATATCACCTTCTAATTTGAACCGGCTTAATTCCGTCACGTAGAACTAGCAACAGCCTGGGGCTCCGGGATGGGATATCAGGTCTCTTCTGGCATTGGGGGGTGGAGGAGCGAAGCAGGGAAGCTGGGGGGACCCCTGCACTCCCTGCATCCCCCTTCCCATGGATCTGCCAGGCAGGCGAACCAACTGCTCCAAGCTGAAAGTCCTCCTCTGGCTGCTTAGCCCCAGTGGGAAGGAGGTAGCTAACCCTGACTCGGTTTCCAGCCTTCCTCTCTGAGGCCTTGTGTTGGGGTTCGGAAAACGAAGGAGTTTCAGGGAGTCGGAAGACCTCGAATGGGCGGAAGAGAATGTTCACCCTGCAGAGAAAGTGTTTGGAGAGTGAGGCAGAAAGGTGGGAGAAGGCCAGGTTTACTTGGAAGGGGCGTGTTGAAGCCTGTTTATGCATTCGGTGTTGTTTAAAGGGGTCTGGAGCCGAGTGGGGTGTGTTTCAGGTAGGAAGCTTGCAAGCTGGCTGACCTTGAGTGGCTGCTTAAACTTTCCAAGTTATTTGTAAAGTTGACTCGCAAGTATTTTGCCTTCTCGTAGACTGTTAAGCAAAATCCTGTGCATTCCTGTAAAAGCCAACAGCGTTTGGCAGCCCCTGTTTCAAAGGGGGCAGCCAACCCAAGAGGAACACATTTTTAAAAAGTAAAAGAAAGCAGGTGAAACTGATTTAAATACATTTTATTTAGCTCACCATATGAAATTTTCAGGGAATTTTTATTTATTTATTTATTTTTCGAGACAGTTTTTTTTTCTATGTAGCCCTGATTGTCCTGGAACACTCTCTGTAGACCAGGCTGTCCTAGATCTCAAAGATCCACCTATCTCTCTTCTACCTCCTAGTGCTGGGATTAAAGGTATCTGCCACCACACCCGGTGTGTGTGTGTGTGTGTGTGTGTGTGTGTGTGTGTGTGTGTGTATGTGTATTTTATGTGCATAGGTGTTTTGCCTGCATATGAGAGTATTGGATCCCCTGGAACTGGTGTTCAGTCCGTTGTGAGCTGCCATGTGAGTGCTGGGAATTGAACCCAGGTCCTCCAGAAGAATAGCCAGTGTTTTTAACTGCTGAGCCATCTCTCCAGAGCCATACCTTCAGTCCCCCTTTAATTGTATGTATGTATGTATGTATGTATGTATGTATGTATGTATGTATGTGTCTGTGTGTGGTTATGTTCACTTGAGTGCAGGTGACTGCCTACACAGGCCTGAAGAAGGTGTGGAATCCCTTGAAGTTTAAGTTTAAGGTAGTTAAGAGCTTCAAGACCTGAGTGTTGGGAACCCAACTCCAATCTTCTATGAGAGTAGTACATGCTCTTAACCACTGAGCATCTTTCCAGATGCAGCTCAGCATATTTTAAAATGTTTTAGAGCTGGACACTATACTGGTATGTGCTAGCTATTTGGGAAACTGAGAGGGAAGGTCATGAAACCAGTCTGGTTAACATACCAGGACTTGGTGGATCATTGGTCAAGAGCACTAGCTGTTTTTCCACAGGGCCCATGACGAGCCCACAACCATTTGTAATTCCAGTTCCAGAGGATCTGCACCCTCTTTTGGCTTCCCCAGGTACCAGGCATGTAAGTGGTACAGAGACATACATGCAGGCAAACATCTGCTCACATTTAATAAAGAAACAAATACTTCTTAACATATAATCAATATAAGATAATTATTACTGAGATGATTTATATTATTTCATTAAATATCCAAACTTTTAACACTTAATAGCACATCTCAATTTAGACTAACAACATTTCAGGTACTTAGAGACTATGTAAGGCCATGGTTTGGACATCTTAGGGCTTTTGCTCATAATTCCTTTTAGAGCTAAGTGTGGGGCTCATGCCTGTAATTCAGCACTCAAGAGGCTAAGGCACAAGGATCACCGAACTTTTGAGGCTAGCTTGAATACATAGTAAGTTCCAGGCCAGCCTGGGATACAAGTAAAAAAAATACCAAAAAAAAAAAAAAAAAAAAAAAAAAAAAAAAAAAAAAAAAGACTTGGCGGGATGTAATGGTACTTTCCTTTAGTCCCAGTACTTGGAAGGCAGAGGCTGGTGGATCTCTGAGTTCCAGGACAACCAGGGCTACACAGAGAAACTCTGTCTCAAAGAAAAAAAAATCAAGCAAATAATAATGCTCATATCATAATCACTTTTTTTTCTTGTTTTTTTGAGACAGGGTTTCTCTGTGTAGTTCTGGCTGTCCTAGAACTCATCCTGTAGATCAGGCTGGCCATGAACTCATAGAAATCAACCTGCCTCTGCCTCCCCGAGAGCTGGGATTAAGGGTGTGCACCACCACCATCTGCTTATAATCACTTTTATCAGATGACTGCAGTAGACACAACTTACACAGAACCCCAAGGTGTACAAAAGAGGGATGAAGCTGCTTTGAAGTTCCATGGGATAGCCTCTCCCCACTTTCTTTCTCTAACAGTTCCCCTAAAGTGACCCTTGTCCCTAGCATTTGGAGACCCTCTGGACACTAGGAGGCAAGGTAACACTGTTGAAGTGGGTGACAACACCTTGAATTTGGGACTTACAACTCTACAAAATGCATGTGCTATATAACTCCTGTAGGTTCCCACCACACCCCATGAGGTAGGCAGGACATCATTCATTCCATCACCAGGAAATAGGTTCAATTCCTGGCAATCTGACTTCAGAGAATCACACCTCCCTCCCCACTACCATCAGGGGTCTCCACGTGACAACTAGAAAGCCTTGAGATGAGCCTGATAGTACATTCCAAACTTGAAATTCAGATGCTACTGTCTCTGCCATTCTCATGCGCGTGCGCTCACACACACACACACACACACACACACACACACACACACACACACACACACACACACACTATATCAGGTACTAAATTAAGCCCTACATTTCTAATTTTCCCTAGTCTTTACAATGATTCCAATACCATTTTTAGATGAAGAAACAGACCCAGAGAGGTTAATGAATTTATTTACTCAAGGACACACAGCTAAAAAGTCTTAGGACTTTAGGACTAGAGTGTGATATCAGGGCTCTTTTGAGGGAGTGGTGCTAGGGATGGAGCCCAGAGTCTCAAAAATACTAGGCAAGTACTCTAACCACTGAGTCCCAAAACCCAGATTAGGGCTTTTGATGGCCATGCTTCCTTGCAGAGCACTGGTTTTCTCTGGGGGTTAAAAGTGACTTCTCCATGATGTTATACACCGATGGAAACTGGATTTGTGTTTTCTATAGCGACAGCTTGGAGTTCAGGAAGGTTTGGAGTCTTTGCTGATTCCTCTGAGCTCTCATGCCCTCCAGTGTAAAAGGGAATAATGCAGAATCTGACTCAGTTGCCCAACCTGCTATGCGCCTCACCCACATTGTAAGTGGGAGGAAGATTCCAGGTGGAGAGTCTACTTTTGGGAGTCAGTATCACTCCCAAGATGGCTCTAGGGCAGGGCTGTGGAAGGCTTTACATTCTAACCATAGCCACAGCCCTAGCCATCCTTTAGCAAGGGGATGCATAGGTGCTCTGTACTTCCCAGGTCTGAAGTGCCAGTCATCTGGGAATAATAGGCATAGATCTGGAGCTGCTCAAGATGGCTCAGGGCACCAGATGGGAAAAAGAGACCAGACGGGGCCATTGTTCTGAGACCAGCTGTGATCCAGAGAGAGCTGCTTCAATACAATCCATCCCACCCAGGGCTGGCTTGGATGTGGGCAGGGAGGCTATCATGAAGTGCTCCCCGGTGGGTAAGATAGAAACTGGGAGCATAGGTGAGGCTTCTAGAACCATCTTTGCTATAGTCAGAGAACTGGCTGGGCCATGAGCTCAGAGCACACAGCAAGATCTATTCAGCTGTCTCTGCTGTGGGGGTTTCCACAGCAAAATTTTGGGTTCTGAGAGCAGAGTGCTTTGTGTTAGCCACTGCGATGCCCCTTCGGTGTGATTAACTCAGTTTCTCCACCCCCAGTGAAGGTAAGCAAGAGGTTTCAGGGGAAGTGCAGTGCAATCTTGTCCCTAATGGTAATCTCTAGGGTGTCATGTGTACTCTTTGCACCAAGGTGATATAGGAGCACAGGGGATCTGGCAGGGACAGTCAGGGACCAACTGAGCAGCTAGCCCTGGGCTGCATGGTGCTCACACTTCTGCCTAGGTTAACATAGGTGGGGACCTCTCAAATCAAGACAGAATTTCTTCCCAGCACAAATCAAGTCAGTCTTTTTTCAAGACAGTGATAGTAGCTATACTTGAAACATGAACCTGAGAACCCAGCTTCCTGGACATCTGCTCTCTCTTGAAGACTAGACTAGTTACAGGTAGAACAAACTCATTCTGATTGGGATGTCTGGGAGTCAGATCATCATCCAGGTCACCACTGAAAGTGTCCTCCACTCCAGGCTGCTGCCTTGACAGGCTCTTACCTACTTCCTGTCCCAGATACTCCCTGTCCTTGCTCCCCATCTTTTATAGGATCAGGGCAGCCAAGGCCTGGCAGAACCCCACCCTGAACAGTCACAATATTTGTAGCTACATCCCTTCTGGGGCCTGTGCTAGCTCCCCAGGGCTCTGCTGCCACCCTTGTTTATCTGGGCTCTTGCTGAAAATTAAAATCACTAAGAAGTTCAGGCTGTGGGTCTGTACCTTATTGGTATTGCATTTGCTTAGTGTACTTGAGTCACTGATTTCCTTCCTCTCCTTTAACAATTGGAGTTATGCTGTTCCAATAGTAAGCTCATCTTTTATGGTTCACTGCCTGAGGTGACAGATGAGGGAGAATGAATTCCTAACACATATTCTTTGGTGTTTTTGGCTTGCAGTGCCTGCATCTACCTACAGCCCATCCCCAGGAGCCAATTACAGTCCAACTCCCTATACCCCCTCACCTGCTCCTGCTTATACCCCCTCACCTGCACCCACCTATACCCCCTCACCTGCACCCACCTATACCCCTTCCCCTGCGCCAGCTTATACCCCCTCACCTGCCCCAAACTATAACCCTGCGCCATCGGCAGCCTACAGTGGGGGCCCTGCAGAGTCCACCAGCCGCCCACCCTGGGTGACCGATGACAGCTTCTCTCAGAAGTTTGCTCCTGGAAAGAGCACTACCTCTGTCAGTAAGCAGACCCTGCCCCGGGGGGCTCCAGCCTACAACCCAACAGGTCCACAGGTAACCCCTCTTGCCAGGGGCACCTTCCAGAGAGCTGAGCGCTTCCCAGCTAGCAGCCGGACTCCCCTCTGTGGCCACTGCAACAATGTCATCAGGTACAGGCTTCGGTATGGGAGGGGTAGCAGATGGGAGGACAGATACAGGCAAAAGGCCAGCCCCACAGGGCAGCCTCAGGTCTCTCTGGCTCAACTCTATGAGCTTTAACTTCCATACCTGTGTGACACCCACATCCCTGGGGAATCGGGAGGATTCCATGAGGTAAGTGGGTGAAGCTCCCAGCTTGGTGCCTGGTGCCAGGAGCTCCCCCTTGGGCTAAGGCTGGGTTCTGGGAATCTTCAGCCTTGTTGTCAGTAGGTTTATTGAAAGCTAGGTGACAGTGCTGGTTTTGACCCAGCTTTCCTATAGAGTTGCTTCTGGATCTTTCTACAGACAGTCCCATGCCTCTTATGGCTCTGATAGACACTTCACTGAAATTAAAGCAAGTAATGCCCCTTAGAAGTCAGGGGTCTCAGACCATGCTTGTTAAATGCAGTATGTCTGTGTATATATGTGGTATGTGCTTCCATATGTGAAAATCTTTAAGAAACAAGCAGAGGCCAGGTATGGTGGTGCACACCTTTGGTCCCCAGCACTAGGAAGGCAGAAGAAAGCGTGTCTCTGTAAGTTCAAAGTTAGGTACTTCTAAAAGCTAGTTCCAGGACAGCCAGGGCTAGAAAGTAAGATCCTGTCCCCAAAACAGAAACAAAATGAGGAGATAAGAATTAGAAAATACAGAACTGAAAAAAATTAGAACATGAGGTTTTCTGATAGTTCCAGTGTTCTGAATACCAATCAAAACTGAACCATCATGTTTGTAGTCTACTGCTTCCTGGCCCTATGACCTTGAATGAGTTCCTTGGCCTTCCCATGTCTCTGTGTTCTTTACTGATAATTAGGCATCATAATAGTTCCTCCTTCAAAGAATTGTTATGAGGATTAAATATATTAACAAATGTAAGTTTATTCTTGAAGGGTATCTAGCACGCAATAATTTAATAAAGGTTAGACACCATCATCATTGCTCTCAGAATAACCTGTGAAAAACTGAACTATGTGATTTTTACTCAGTCCTCTGTGGTAGATACTTAGATTGCTTCCAGGTTCTGTTTGTTAGGTTTTGAAATGTGTGTTCCTTTATGACAGAATCTCACTATGTAGCCCTGGCTATCCTGGAACTTACTGTGTAGACTTGAACTTAGAGATCTGCCTGCCAAGTGCTGGTGTGCATCCCCATGCCGCATTGTCTGGTTCTATTTATTGTTACTGACATGACAATAGACATCTTTCTGCATGGAGCTTCCTCAGAATTACATGTTATTTCATTAGAACAATCCTCAAAGTGGACATTACTCAGCAAATGTATGAATATTGTTGGGGGTTCTTAAAATATCTGGTTCTAATTTCTGGGGCTCATTTTAATGCTCTTCTCTGCCATGCCAGGGGCCCTTTTCTGGTAGCCATGGGCCGCTCTTGGCATCCAGAAGAGTTCAATTGTGCCTACTGCAAGAACTCCCTAGCAGATGTATGCTTCGTGGAGGAGCAAAACAATGTTTACTGTGAACGGTGCTACGAGCAGTTTTTTGCCCCGCTCTGTGCCAAGTGCAACACCAAGATCATGGGGGTAAGTGGGCAGCATCCCTCTCCTTTGACCCTTGTCTTTTCTTCAACTGGACTGACTTGCTCCCTTCCCCTTGCTCCCTTCCCCTAAGATTCTGTGATCCTATTAGAAACACTATCAACAAGTGGCTGATAACAGAGAAAACAAGTCCATTTCCATCCTAGAATGGAATTGGTTTGCCATTAACTACTGAACCAGGGAACTAATTAACTTAGGCAAGCAATGATATACACATATGCCACCAGCTTCGAATAGTGCTGGGGTTCTGAAAAGCAAGTTCTTGCTTCACAGCCTGACCTCACCGCTCATCTGCCTGTGGCCCTGACTCTCAGTGTCCTTTTGGCAAAGTGGCCCTAATAAGCAGGACCTCCCTTCTCCACCCTCCCCTGCCTTCCCCAGCATCTGCTTTGTGAAGCCCTTCTGCACCGTTCCTTAGGCTACTTGGACAGCAGCCAGACCTGGTGCAGAAGCCAAGTCTAGCTCCCTTTCTCCTGGGAAACTTTCTGTCCTGAACTCAGAGTCTTTCCTCCAGGAAGTGATGCATGCTCTGAGACAGACATGGCATACGACCTGCTTCGTCTGCGCAGCCTGCAAGAAACCCTTTGGAAACAGCCTCTTCCACATGGAGGATGGAGAGCCATACTGCGAGAAAGGTAGGCCTGTGAGACATGGTACAGATAGGATGCAATATGACACCATGCTGGAAGACCCTGTACCATGTCCCACCTGGGTTGACAGGCAGGCATAGAAAACCAAGTCGTGCCTCTGTCCACTCACATCCTACTGTAAGCGGGAAGACAGGGTCTTCTGTGTTTTCTTTCCTATGTGGTACTGTGAATCAAACTCAGGGCCTCACATAAGCTCCTGACTTTGCTTTTAATGGCTGAATCATGCTATTATACATTAGCTGAACTATTTCCCCTGCTCATTTGGTTCTAGCTTTTGGAGAAAAGGAGTGAGAATTACAATGCATTTATATACCAGTCTCTGCTCCCTTCCATGTTTCTAACATTTGAGTCACACATTGTTCCATAAACCTCTCAGGCTATGTTGACATGGAAACCTGGGTCTAGTGTGAAAAGGGCCTTGGCTCTAGATGTCATCCTAGGTTCTATTCCTGGCTCCACCCTGAGATGGCTTTGTAACCCTGAGTAAAGCTGCTAAACACATGCCTGGTAGAGCTGATTTGAGGATGGAAGCAGGGCAGGGCCAAGGCATGGGATGCTCAGTGCCCTTCCCTTCCTATGGTGGTGCTTTTCAGGCTTCCTTCAATATCTCTGTACCTTGAAGTGTAATATGCTATTGTAACATGTGGGGAGTTGAGGAGTCACAGACTAGCTGGCCTTTTAGCCCTGCCCCCTTCCTTCACAGCCTGCTTTTCTCAGGAAGCGTTCTGCCTAATAAGGGGAGCATAGACTTGAAGGCTAACACAGCAGCACCAGAAAATCAGATGAGGAAAAACAGGGATATCTATAGTAGGATCTGATGTCCTCACATTAAGTTGTACATGCAGACAGAACTCTCATATACATTAAATAAATACATCTTTAAAACATAGTATTAGTCATGTCTGTGCTATCAATTTTTAAAGGAGAGCCCCCAGATCATGCAAAATCAAGTTTAAAATAGAAAAGTCAATCTGTAAGCAAGACTAAAACTTCCAGAAGTAGATTAAAGCTGTTTTAAGAACAAATTTGTGAAAAAACAACAAGGGAAGGAATTACTATTTAATAAGGCTTGTTGAACCATTTTTGTTTGTTTTCTGTTCATCTTTTAACCATAAAACATATATTAAGTGTGTAGTGTATATCAGTTTCTGTGATATGTATCAGATGACTCAGTGTGTAAAGGTGCTTGCCATGAAAGCTTGGCTGCCTAAATTTGACTCTTGTAATCCACATGAAGTATAAGGAGAGAGCTAATCCCACAAAGTTGTCCTCTGACCTGCACACACACTCCATGGTACAAATCTTACAACTAAAATAGTAATAATAAACTTTAAAAATCTTGGGCTGGAGAGATGGCTCAGTGATCAAGAGCACTAGCTGTTCTTCCAGAGGTTCTGAGTTCAATTCCCAGCAACCACATGGCTGCTCACAACTGTCTAGTGATCCAGTGCCCTCTTCTAATGTGCAGTTGTACATGCAAACAAAACATCAATACACACAAAAATAAATAAATATTTAAAAGAATCTTAAGCAAAGCAATTAACATGGGGTGTCCTGTCATGGATATTCAAGAATGGTGGATGGATGGAAGATGGATGGGTCCTCTTCCTCCTTTAACCATTTATGAGGTCTTCTAAAATGAGAACCAACAGTCAATGTTATGCCAAATACTTCATATATTTCTTACTCTGGTCAATAGCGACAATTCCTTGAGTTTGGTGCTATAGTTTATAAATGGGAAGGCTGCAGTCCTAAGAAGCTGCCTCAGGGTTAAAGAATTCTTGAATAGAGCTGGACTTTGAACTACCTTTTCTTCCTTCACACTCCATGTTTATAACCTTGAAGACGTGCTGCCTTTCTGTGTGGTCTAAGACAATGAATGGCTATACTGCCCACAGGAGAGGAACAGAACACAGGAAGAAACTAGTTGTGGTAGAGCTGTGGAGAGACAAGTACATTTGGGAGCTGGGGAATGCAGGGAGGAATGAAGTATTCAAAGGGATTTGAACTCGTCTAGAGAAAATCTAGAAAATGTCTACAGTAGTCTGGTAGGATTGCTACACCTTGAGAAAGGAGCACAAGACTTGACAAGGCCTCTAGAGTGGGATTCTGGTCTTTATTACCTTGGGTCTCAATTTCTTCATCCACAAAACAAGACCAAAGTTAAAAAAATCCATCTCTGTGAGACACTGTGAAGATCAGATTCATTCATTTACTGATTCACTTGTGCACCGCAAATGTGATAAATTCACTGATGTACTGATTCACACCTGTGCTGAGTAATGACCACTGCCTAGAGGTTATGCTGGAAGTACAAAGAACAGTAAATAAGGCATGATTCTTGATGTTAAGTTTCTTGTAAGGAATGTCTCCTGCCTTAGTCCAACTTGTTCTAGGGTAACCAAATGTCTGAGAAAGGGGGATTTACAATGAACAGAAGTGTATTTGACTCATGCTTCTGAAAGCTGGGAAGTCCACAGTCAAGAGGCCACACTTGCTAAGGGCTGTCTTACATCATCCCATGTGGAAGGTGGAGGGGCAAAAGAGAGAGAAAGAAAACAGGCAGTGGGAGGCCAGGGTCATTTTTATGAGAACCCCACCCCTTCTGAACCTATTCCCTCAATAATAACACTAATTCATTCAAGAAACAGAGGCTATGTGATCTAACCGCCTCCCATTAGGCTCTACCTCCCAACACTATTGCTGGGAGGAGTATGCCTCCTACATGTGAACTCTGGAAAGCATGTCTTTGTGAAAGTTGTCAGTAGATTTTGAAGCACTATGAAGAGCATTTTGTAGTGTTATCTTCCCTCTTAGGGGATAAGGAGGACATAGCCCTGTAAAAATAGCTTAAATATTGTTTATGGTAGTAAAAATTTGTTGTCAGCATGAATGTTCAATGACAGAAGAATGGTCAAGCAAATGCCATTCTAAAATTAAGTACAGTCTTAAAGACGGACTGCAGAGATGGCTCAGTGGTTAAAACCACATGCAGTTCTTACAGAGAGTCCAAGTTCACTTACCAGCACCCATGTCAGACAGCTCACAATTGTCTTAACTCCAGTTCTTGGGGGACCCAACACCTTCTTATGGCATCTATGGGTATCTGCACTTACATTCATGTAACACCCCCCCACACACAAACATATAATTAACAATAAAAAATAAATCTTAAAGCAACAACAACAAAATCCTTAAAGAGTCTGGGCCTGGAAAGAGAATTCAGCATTTAAAAGCACAAACTGGCCAAGTTGTGGTGACATGTGCCTTTAATCCTAGCAATCAGGAGGTAGAGGGAGGTAGATCTTTGAGTTTGAGGCCAGCCTGGTCTATAGAGCAAGTTCCAGGACAGTCAGGGTTACACAGAGAAACCCTGTCTCAAAAAAGGGGGTGGAGGGAAGCACCCAGGTTCTGTTCCTAGTACCCACATAGTGTGCTTTAACAGCCTATAACTCCAGATCCATAGGATCCTCTGTAGACACCTGGACTCATGTGTACACGCATGAGTATAAAATAAAATAAAATCTGATAAAAAAAGACCCTCTTCCTTCCAAAATAAGCCTAGTGACTGGGCGATGAGGACAAATTTCTGTGTGGGGATTGACCTCTTCAGACTATCAGAGGGGACAGAGAGAAAAGAAACAATTGTCCTTTCAGAAGTTCATGACAATTCCAGAAAGAATTTTCAGATCAAACTAGCATAGGGTGGTAATTAAGTCCAAGTCTGAGTCTGCACAACATTGGTACAAATTACCAAAAGGGTGAAAAATAAAATCAATCATGTAAGTGAGTATTTTGTTTGTTAGATGACAAAGCCTACTCCCCCTAGCCCACTGATGTGTGTGTGTGGGGGGGGCTGTCTTGGTCTTGGGTCTATGTGGCAGATTGTTTTTTTTTTTTTTTTTTTTTTGCCTGCCTCACTTTGACTTTCATTTCAGACTACATCAATCTGTTCAGCACCAAGTGTCACGGATGTGATTTTCCTGTGGAAGCTGGCGATAAGTTTATTGAAGCCCTGGGACACACCTGGCATGACACCTGCTTCATTTGTGCGGTATGTTTCTAGCCTAGAGTTCCAACTATCTGAGCAGGGGATACAAGGGACAAAGTGCAGCCTAGTTGGCCAACCTCTTGACACACAAGGATACAACTGTGGCACTCTGGTGCCACAATGTTTCTTAAAGTTTGTCAATGCCATGTCTTGATATGTCATGGGAAAAGAAAGCTGTATTACCAATGACTATAGATCAATAGCAGAAAAGTACCCTAAGGTTTGGAGAACTGGCATGTTGTCTTACCAGCAAGAGGTGAGGGCAGCGAACAATGGCCTAGAGAAGCAGGTGGCTTCCCTAGGTTATATGCTGCTTTGGTTATGAAGTGGTGTGAAGAATTTACCAGGAACCCCAGTCCTCAGCTTATTGACTAGGCCTTTGAAAAGCTGAGATAAGGTTTCTCTCAGTAGAACCTTTAGAAATCAGGCTGAGTATCACTTTCCTTTCTTAAGTGGTCCTGTTCTTGATGTACAGCAGCTGGCAGATAAGCCTGAGATTAACTATTAACTGTGTGGAGTTAGCTGAATCAGCAGGGTATCTGCCTAGGAGACTGGCCTTCCCTTTAGAGGGCTTTCAGCTGAGATGAGATTGTGAAACTCTGCTACCACTATTTAGACTTGAGTTGGAAACAGGAAATGCTCATCCCTAATAAATCTCTGTAATGTCAGTCTGACAGGCTTAACTTTGTTTAGGAAAATGAATGAACTATTGGTATTTTAAGGACCAGAGTTACTCAAGATAAATGTGGGGTATGTATGAGAAAACTGTTCTGTTTAGGGCTGGGGATGTAGCTCAGTTGGTAGACTCTTTACCTAACATGCATGAAGCCCCAGGTTCAATCTTAGGCTTCATATAAACCAAATGGTGGTAGCATACACGTATAATCTCAGCACTTGGGAAATGGAGGCGGGAGGATCAGAAGTTCAAGGTCATTCTGGGTCATTCAAGGTCATTCTCAAGGCCAAATTTGAGTATAGGAAGCCCTGTCTGTAAGGTTTCGGGCATTATGCTGGCCTGCCCCATCAACTGGCAGAATGTCCAGGTGCAAAGGACCCCTTTAAAAGAAAGACCTCCGCCCACTTACCCTCACTTTCTGCTCTCTCTTTCCTGCTCTTTCCACTCTTTCTTTCCCAATCTCTTTCTCTTTTTCCCGCTGTCCCCCTGGGGCAGACAGGACTTTTCCTGTCTCCCTCTTCTCTTCTGTCCTCTCTCTGTCTCTGTGTCTCTTTACCTCTTTTCTCTTTCCTTCCTGCCTTCCCTCCCCTTACTAATAAAACTTCTCACTTAAGCTCTGTCTGCCTAGTATGTTTGTCCTCTGCCTCAGTCACACTTGCCTGCCATGTAATTCACCAAGGTCCCCCAAGCAAGGTTCACCACACTTTATCATAACTCTGTAGATAGATAGATAGATAGATAGATAGATAGATAGATAGATAGATAGATAGCCTGAATAATCCTTTAGGGACTTAGGATGGAGGACAATCCTAGTCATCAAGTTCACTGCCATATGTTCTGAGTTCTGTACTAAACTGTATATTAATTTCCTAAGGTATAATAATAGGCATAGCAGAAATATATTATCTCATAGTTCAGCAGGACAGAAACCAAAACTCAAAGTGCTGACAGACAGCCACACTCTCTCCTACCCCTGGTTGCTAGCCATCTTTTCATCCCCTGGTTAGTTTAAGTGTTCTAGTCTTTGCTTCTGTTGTGACAGTTCACCCCCACCCCGGTGTGTGTGTGTGTGTGGGGGTGTGTGTGTGTGTGTGTGTGTGTGTGTGTGTGTTTGTGTGTGTTTATATCTCTAGCCAAGACTGGCCTTGAACTCCATAGCTGAGGATGATCTTGAATTTCGTTGTTGTTTTTCACAGGGTCTCACTACTAGCCCGGGCTGTCCTGAAAGTCACTATGTAACCCAGGCTGTCCTGGAACACACACAGACCTGCCTTCCTTTGCCTCTCAAGTGCTGGAATTAAGCCTCATGACTTTGAGCTTCTGATCATCCTGTCTCTACCTCCCAAGTTGTATCTATATTTTTACACGTTTTCTTGTCTGTGTATACATAACTGTTTCCACAGGCTATGTTTCCACATAACTGTCTCCTCTCTTACAAGGCTACAAGTCTTACTGGAGTGAAGAGCAAAGGCTGCCTTCCTCCAGTATGACTTTTTTTTCTGAGATAGGATTTCTCTGTGTAGCTCTGGCTGTCCTGGAATTCACTCTTTAGACCAAGCTAGCCCTGAACTCAGAGATCCACCTGCCTCTGCCTCCTGAGTGCTGGGATCTCTGTCTATAAATTTTAAGGCACAGAATTCAAATCCTTACCACTTCTAACATTCTTTGAACAGATTGTTTAGTTGCTTTTAAAAGTTCCTTAAATAGGTCAGGGCTTCTCCCCAAAAGGGACCTTGTGTAACTATCTGCCGGTAGGATGGCCTCCCGCATAGCTGGGGCTCAGCCAGGTGGAGCATAGAAGACTTGACTCTTTCAAGCCTCAGCTTGCTTGACTGATTACAAACTTGAATACCCAGTGTCTAGAAGAATCCAAGAGACTTGGAGAAGGTCCAGGAAGAGGCACAGAGGCTGAAGAGAAAGGGGGCTGTGCTGCATTGCAGAGGGAATCATGGCAGAGGTCATCAAGGGGCTAAAATAGAAGTTCTAGAATAGAAGCAGGAAGAAGTAAAGTTTAGGGTAGAGCAAAGTTTGGAGAATAAAGACCAGCCAAGGGTGAGAGACCCAGAGCAATGCCTAGCTGATTTGCCAAAAGAAGCTGGGGCGATCTTGTCCCTTGGAAAGTGACATGGGTATCGTCGAGTCTTCCTCTTGAGCCAGCCCTACGTGGTCCTCACTGTTCTGTGAAGACAGTGAAGTAGAACACAGTTCTAGTATTTGGAAAGAAACCTTTAGGTTCGAAAACTTTAAGGCCTGTCTCCTCCCTCCCTCCCTTCTTCAGTGCTAAGGGTTGACCCTGAACTCTATGTGTCAGACAAGTGATCTGCCATTTATTAAATTCAGAAATCAGACTTTCCTCCTCCTTCTCTTCATCCTCCTCCCTTTCCTCCTTCTCTCCATCCTCATCCCCTTCCTCCTTCTTCTCAAGGGTCTCCTTTCGTTTTACATTTCCAAATCACTTCCTTGTTTGTCTATTATGTAGTCCAGGATAGGCTTAAGTTCCTAATAGCCTCTTGAGCTCTGGGTGTACAAGCATGCACCATCAACCCTGGCTGTAAATCCCTTTGTTTTTGTTTGCAATAAGGTCTCACTACATAGCTTTGGCTGAACTTGAAGTAATCCTCCTGTCTCAGTCTCCTAAGTGATGAAATTACAAATTTGTGCCACAATATGCCCCGATTCCAAATTGTTTTTAATAAGCATATGTCTTCATATGATGGTTCTTGACCTGCATGCAACACAATAATAATTAAAAAACAAAACAAATCAACCAACCAGCCAACCAAGCCAACCAATAAGAAAGATTCAGACTAGCTCTTTTGTGGTCACACCGTTTCTTTATCAGTTAAATCAGGGGATATAGAACATTGTTAATTTTTTTTTTTAAGATAAGGTCTTATGTATCTCAGACTGGTCTCTTGAACTCAGTATTTACCAAAGATCACATGGGGCTTCTAGTGGCCCATGGAAGCTAATAAATTGAAATAAACTGAAAAATTACCTACTTCCCAGCCTCTACCTCCCAAGGAAAGGCTGGAATTATAAGTGTGCACTATCCAGCCTCCTGGTTCATCCACACTCATATATATGTATATGTGTATGTGTATGTGTATGTGTATGTGTATGTATATGTATATGTATGTATGTGTGTGTACAAATATAAGATATATATGCAATACAATATATGTCTATATATACACAAATACACACATGCACACACACGGGCATGCAAATTCATATATCTGCAGAAGCAAAAGGAGGAGTCAGAGCTTCTTGAGCTGGTATTATAGGCGGTTGTGAGCTGCCTGATGTGGGTGCTAGGAACCATACTCTGGTTCTCTGCAAGAGCAGGGAACACTCTTAACTGATGAGACATCTCTCTATCTCCAACATATTTTTTGTAAACTTTATTATTATGAAGGTGTATTTTTAGTAATTTTAAAACTGTATTAGTAATGTGTTGAGTATCTGTGTATGAATGATGTGTATGAGTGAGTGAGTGTAGGACCTCTGGTGCCATAGCCTGAGTGTGGAAATCAGAGGAAGACTGTCAATCAATTCTCTCCTTCTGCGTCCACATGGATTACAGGGGTTGAACTCAGGTGCTCAGACTTGCCTAGAAGTGCTCTTAACTCACTCGAGAGGAATTCAGTTTGCAAAATATTCCTGGAATTTGGGAGTAAGAGTCTCCTAAAGCAAGACTCCATCCACCTTTATGGAATCTAGAATCTTAACAGAAAAATGAGCTAACAGGAGTAATTTGGGGGCCTCCCAAATCCAAAGCATGGAAAATAAAGGCTAGAAGGCTAAGGTGGGGGTAAGCTTCCAATACATGGGCCCTTAGGGGACAAACCACCTCCAAATCCTAGCACCTGGTTGCATTCAGCATCTCTGTAACTTCCTGGGTGTTCCCAGGTAATTTTTCAATCAGTTGGCTTCCATGAACCACTAGAAGCCCATATAATCCAAGTATAACTTCCTCGACTGGGCTATCGTGATGTCCCTTTCCAACCTTTGTTGAATTAAAGGGACAACTCAGGGGGAAATTGTCTCCACTCTATGACTACCTGTATATAAGGACTCATCTTAGTTTCTTTCCTACTGCTAGGATAAACTATTCTGATAAAACAACTCAATAGAGAAAAGGTTTTATTTTATCTCATGATACAGTCCATCATGGTGGGGAAATCAAGGCAGCAGGTGTTGGAAGCAGATGGTCTTAGTCAGAAGAGAGCAATGAATGCATGCTTGCTGCTGTTGCTCAGCTCACTTTCTCCATTTTATTCACTCTGAGGTAACCTACCTAGGGAATGGTTTCACCCACAATTAAGATGGGTCTTCCTACATCACTTAATATAATCAAGACAACCCCTCACAGGTGACCCTAGATTCTGTCACATTGACAACAGGCTTATTTTGAGGCCAGGATCTAGATACAGCTTCCAATTCTGCTCCCCAGTAGGGATGCTCAGTGCCCTATGTAATGGAGCCCATCCCAGCCAGCATGACTTCCAAGACAACGCTCAGCATGTTAGCGTTTTGCCCACTTGGGTTCTGGTCCACATGTTGGTAACCCAACACCTCAGACAACCTCTGTGCAAAGCCAGGAGCTCAGAACCATTTCAAATAAACACAGCCTATTTTGCTGTGGAATTCAGAAACAAGTACCATGGAACTGGGTTCTTACAGCCCTGGACATGATTCCCAGCTGTACAGTTTACTAGGTCTGTGACTTAAGTAAGATATTTGGGCTCTCTGAGTCCCAGTTTTTGAATTGTGAATTTAAATGAGGCCATCTCACTGGAACCACAGTGACCTCAGCAAAGATGGATTCATCCCCTTCTTTCCAGAATGTCTCCATCCTCAAACTACTCTCATTTATCTTTATCATGGGGACATATAACTTTGATTTTTACATATAACATTTTCCTGAATGCACTTTTCCATGTTTGATTGGTGTTTTCCCCATGGTTGTACCAAGTTTCCCTTTTTTTTTTTTTTTCGGCCACCAAACATGACACAGAGACTTCTTATTAGTTATGAATGCTCCACCTTAGCTTATGCTAGTTTCTGGCTAGGTTTTATAAGTTAATCTTTTTCTCTTCATCTACTTTTTGCTTCAGGGCTTTTTACATTTTCTTTCTGTATGTCCTATTCTGTCTAACTGGCTGACTGGCTCCAGGCTTTTCTTCTTTTCTTTTCTTTCTGGCCTATCCCTCTTCTGCTTAGCTATTGGCCGTTCAGCTTTTTATTAGACCAATCAGGTGCCTTGGACAGGCAAAATGAAACAGCAACACATCTTTACATAGTTAAACAAATGCAGCATAAACAAATGTAATACACCCCTTTACACAAGTAATATTCCACAACATAAACAAACGTAACACATCTTTGCCTAAAGTAATATTCCATACCACATGGTAGAATTCCATTGGAAGTTGTATCACAAAAATGTATACAATTACTTTATTCTGAAAGAAATTTCATTAGTATGTCCCTCGTATTACATAATAATTACCTTTGGGCACTGCTCATTTTTTAATTGGGTACTTCTTTTCTTTAATTTTTTTTTGCCTACCCTCATAAAAATATTAAGGGTGACAAGACATTGAGGGTTTTTGTCTGATCTATTTTGTTATGTTAATAGGTATGGTATCTCTGAGAGATCTTCATTTCCCCTCTGAATTATTTAGTGAGAACAATCTTTGATATTTTCTTAGTTTACTAATAGAATTTACTGAAATGGTTAATCCTTTCTGTGGGAATTGTTAACTTGTACTGATTCCGTATATACTTTGGATAGTGCTGCAACTTTGCATGGCTTGAAGATTGCCCTAACTGGGGCATCAGAATGAAGAAACAACAGATACATACATGCACAGAAAAGCTAGGATTGGGTGGGTCATGTTCTCTGATAGAGAGGCACCATCAGCAGCTTGGAAACTAAGTTTATTTTATACATCTGAATTGAGGAGGCCAGGTTATTACATACAGCTAAATAAGGAGACAGGTTTAGCTGGTATCTATAGGGTAACAGTCCCAGGCTATAAACATCCTGGAAAAGAAAGCTGTGGTCCACATTTCTTACATGTCTTAGTTGGGGTTTCTTTTTTTGTGACGAGACACCATGACCACAGCCACTCTTTTTTTTTCTCCCCCCCCCTTTTTTTATTATTAATTCAAGTTAGGGAACAGGCTTGTTTCACATGTAAGTCCCCTCTCCCTCTCCCTCCCCTCACCTCTATCCCTCCTTCTCCACCTCCAACCTACCCCCCACCCCATCCACCCACCACTCCCTTGGCAGGTTAGGGCCCCCAACAGGGGCTCCACAAAGTCCACCAAATCTTCCTGTGCTGGACCTAGGCCCCTCCCCATGTGTCCAGAGACAGAGCGCATCCCTTCACGTGGGAGGGGCTCTCAAAGACCCCCCCACACACCAGGGAAAAACGCCAGTCCACCTCCGGAGGCTCCCCGGAGTGCAGGGGACCACAGCCACTCTTATACAGGAAAATATTTAATTGGGGTGACTTACAGTTCAAAGACTTAGTCTCTTATCATCATAGTATGAAACATGGAAGCACACAGGCAGACACAATGCTGGAGGCGTAGTTGAGAGTTCTACATCTGGATCAGCAGGCAGTAGGAAGAGAGAGTGAGCCACTAGGCCTGGCTTGAGCATCTGAAACCCCAAAGCCCACCCCTAGTGATACATTTTCTCCGACAAGGCCACACCTATTCCATCAAGCCCATACCTCCTAATAATGTCACTCCCTATGGACTTACAGGGCCATTTTCATTCAAACCATTACAATCAACATCTGCACACAGACCAGGAAATACTTTGTCATTTCCCTGAGTCTGATCAAGGGAAGTCTTTACTATTCCTATTGGTCTGAGGCATTGGGGTCCTTTATTTGCCTCTGCTCATGTCAACAATATATATTCACTCAGGACTTCATCTGTTCCCCATAGCATAGCATGAATTAGACATTTTTATCACATACATATTTTCTATTTCACTAGATTTAATTAATTTGAGTCCATGCTTTTCAGACATCTTTATCTTGCTTTGGTATTTATTTATATATTTATAGACAGAGTTTCTAGCAGCTAAAATGACCTTGACCTTTTTGAAAAACTCTCTCATGCTACCACATCCTTAGCATTAGGATTATAGATATGCTCATCAAACCTGGTCACGTGATTCTGGGGACCAAAGCCAGGGCTTTATGTATGATTGCCAAGCAACTGGCTACATCCTCAATTCCCTGGAAGTCTTCATGTTATATGGTTCAACCTACACATTCTGTTTAGTCATTAAGACTTTGTAGCGGGGCGTGGGGGGGGGAACAGGCTGCTTCTTCTCTTAGCTAGGTCCAACAGTGCATTTTTCTAAACAGGTGACTTCTTCCCCCATAGGATCTCTCTATATAGCCCTTCTACATCAGCCTCCCAAGTGTTGGGATTAGGAGCATGCCTGCCATGCTGTGCTAGTCTGAAATCTTTTGCTCATGTTCTCCCTGCTGCAAGATCCCATCTTACACCACTCTGTTTTCCCTCCCAGGTCTGCCATGTGAATCTGGAGGGGCAGCCATTCTACTCCAAGAAAGACAAACCACTGTGCAAGAAGCATGCGCATGCCATCAACGTGTAGGGCCCCAGAGTAGCTGATGTGGGCCAGGCCCAGGCTGCTCCTGCTATGACAATGAAGGAGTCAAAGAAGCTGATGTTTCTTCTGGGGGGGAGAGGGGGATGAGAGAAATGATTGAGCCTTTTGAAGTCTAATTTTAGTCTTTTCTTGTACACACAGATTGTGCATTTTCATAGTTCAGACTAGAAGCCAAAAGAAGTTTCTAAACCCAGATAGTAATTAATTCATGGCTGGTACTGCACTTCAGACATTTGAGAAAAAATTCCAAGAAATCAAAAGTTAAAAACAAAAAGCAATGCTTAAAAATGATACACTTCCCCAGCCATCACTATCATCCGTGTAGGGACAGTGCTCAGGGCAGTTATGGAGAATCCAAAGCACATAGCAGAGTTCTGGAGAACTCCTTGGCAAACACAATGATGTGCCAAACAGTATTTGCTGTGGGGTTATTTTTAGAGCCGGCACTGAGAGCTCCTTAGCTAAGACCCATTGGGCCTTCTTCACCAAAAAAGGAAGAGTCGTTCCATCAGCATCACAGAGTTTCCTGTGCACATCAGACTTAGATGTTGAACAAACTTGAAACCTGTAAGGGGAGCCCAGACGTCTGAAGCATTGTCGGGCCACTACTGAGCAAATGGAGAGGCTCCTGAAAGGTCTTTGGCTAGTGCCACAGACAACCGAGAAAAGATGAGCTCTCTCTACATCTCCCCCTTTTAGTCTGGAACATTTAATGTCTCTGGAAAGCTTTTCTCCTTTTTGAATTGTCATGGGAAAGTGAAATTGGATTTCTCCCGTTTTGCTTTACAATGTGTCAGAAGAGGTTTGCAAAGGACTCTGGGTCTGGTTTAGCCTTTGTTTTGCTTGAAGAGGGTCCTGAGCATGACTGTTCTGTGCATGTATTTCACCCTCACCCATCACTGCTCATGTTGTGGGTGGGGGGTGAAATATGTCTTGCTCATCCCCACCGTCAGACAGACTCAGTGGAAAGAAAAGAGAGATGGCATCAAACACAGGATGGTAGAACAGGCTCTCATGCCCAACTGTGCATGGGGAGAGGAATTTGCTTTCTGCCAACCTCAGCATGGGCTGCAGGATGCCCATCTTCAGGGCCCACCATCCTCTTAGCTTGTTCCTTTAAATGAAGCATGCCAATTATGTAATCTTTCTGACTGCTGCAAGGAGGGGAAAGGGTACATTTGCCATTTGGGCCAATATTTTGAAAATAGCTGAGTGGATTTAGAATATTTATTGAAATAGACCTGGCCCTCAGAGTCCTTTACAGATATGAAGCTATGTAGAAGTTGAGAAAGTGGCTTCCTTTTTGGGTCTGGAGATGGCAAGCTCACTTTTCCTTCTAGGAAGCACTGTTAGGAAGGATGTTCACGGGAGGGTGGAAATGGCATTAAAGCAGGCTGTGTGCTCTGTGTGTTTCTCACGGGAGCACTGTGTTTAGGCACTCTACCGACTCACTGTCCCCATCTCTTTTTTCCTGTTTTGGATTTTTTTTTTTTGTCTTTGCACATTTGAAGTGCTTTATAGGAATGCATTCAAACTCTTTCTTTTGAGAACTAAGGCTTCCAGGCGACTGTCATCCTACTTAAGGGTCTCTCCCAGTCAGACATAGCCTATCAGGAAGCCCATGGTTTTTCTAAGTATGGAATCACCAGTCCCCTCCGGGCAACACAGAGGAATGTCAGAACTGGGCTCCTACCAAACAGCCCTTCTTTACTTTTGATGCAAAGCTCCAGGCTGAGCAAATTCTGCTGGACAGCCTGGAGATTGGTTCAGAGATACAGAACAGGGCCTTGTGCAGCCTGTTGTTTTTGGAAAGTTCAAATATACAGGGACAAGGAGCTTGCTGACTAAACAGAAAGGTTCTAAGCAGTTGAATTTTCAAAACAGTATCTACTAAATGATCAGGAACTGGTCTTGAGGAAGGGAAATAAAAATCCCAACCATTATGTTTCCCAAATCTCTTTTTAAAGTTTTTTTATGCATACACACAGACACCACTCCTGTGTAATTTGTCATTTTCTGTAGGCTCTTTAAGAAGAAAAGCAAAATATCCCAAAGGAAAGCATCACTATCATGCTATATTAAGTAGTTGTTTTTTTTAGTATTTAATAGCCATGTATATTCATGAAGGACTCTTATTTCTCAAAAACAATTTCAGGGACTAAGTGTAATCCAGTGGTACAGAATTTTCCAAGCATTCAGGATGCTCTAGCTTCAGTCCCCAGTACTGCCAAAAACCAATTTAAAGGTAGCAGGAAAAGGAGCTAGTTTCAAGAATGGTACACAGGGCAAACCTGTATAGTGGTATGATTAAGGCTGTGTGGCATTTGGGTTAATATCATGGTTTTCCTGTGACAACAAACAGTTTTTACTGGTTCACAGAAGTACAGTTTGTCTTGTCTTCTTATGGTTGGCATAAATATAATGTAGTGATAAACACTCACCTTTTACAATAGAATGACTTGTATTGGCAGTGTTTGTGTTACCAATCTAGTCTTTTTAATGTGAACTTTTCAACCAAAGTATTCTTGCTTCAGGTCTGTTTCCTTTCTTTTTGGTAAGTTTTCTGAAGTGGAATATAATGTGTTAGAGGAGTACACAAAACTACTTTGCATGTTTTTCTTTCTTGTCTTTCTTTTATTTTCTTTTTGGAGGGTCTGTGTAGATTCTTTTTAGCAAAATAAAATTCAGAAAAAGATGCACAAATGCTAATTTTTATTCTATGAAAAGTTCTTTCATTTGCCATTAAAAAAAAAAAAACTGACATCCAGATGGCCATACTTTTCTGTAAAAGTATGAGACAAAAGTTTCCTGTGACTAAGAAACACTGTTTGCTTGGCTTGTTGCACAACAGAAACTTCATCATTTTATTTAATCAAAATTGTATGACTAACACAATTTATTTTCGAGACTGGGTTTCTCTGTGTAGCTTTGGAGCCTATCCTAGCACTCGATCTGTAGACCAGGCTGATCTTGAACTCACAGAGATCCGCCTGCCTCTGCCTCCCAAGTGGTGGGATTAAAGGTGTGTACCACCCAACCATAAATGTTTTATATAGAAAAGGAATTAATAAGCTGAAGAACAGGCCTAGTGTTGTGTTTTTCCAAAGGTGCTTTTAGTTACTTGGTGGCCCAATATTTCATATTTAGTTCTCACAATATAGTCTCCGCCTCTGGCACCACAGACATTATGATCAGATTGTTAACTTTTAAATTGTTATTTCATTTTATTGTTTTTAGTGTGTGTGTAAGGGGTAGGTGTAAGAGCACATGTGCTATGGTGTGCATGTAGGGGTCAGAGGACAACTTTCAGGAGTCTCTTTCCACCATGTGGGTTCTGAGTACAGACCCATGTCATCATATTTAGAAGCAGATGTCCCTACCCACTGAGCCATCTCAGTAGCCCAGCTCTTTTATTTATTTATTTGTTTGTTTGTTTTGGTTTTTATTTGCAAATTTATATATATTTAAAATTTATATTTGTTTTTATTTTATGTGTATGAGTGTTTTGCTTGTGTGTATGTATGTTCACCATTGGTATACCTAGTATCTTTGGAGGCCAGAAGAGGGTGTTGGATCCTCTGGAACTGAAGTTACTGATGGCTGTGAGCCATTATATGGGTGCTGGGAATTGAACCACCATGGTTCTCTGCAAGAGCAACAAGTGATCTTAACCACTGAGACATCTCTCCAGGCACAACTGTATGTGTCTGTGTGTGTGTCTGGGCATGTGAGTGTAGGCACCTGTAGAGTCTAGATGAAGGCATTGGATTTCACTGGAGCTGTAAGAAGTTGTGAACTGCCTGACTTGGGTACTGGGAACCAAACTCAGGTCCTCTGCAATAGTAGCACATGCTGTTAACCACCAAGCCATCTCTCCAACCCCACAGATCAATTTTTATTTTGTCAAATATAAAAAGTTCCCGTATTCCTTTCATTTCTCTTTTTTCCAAGTAAGTTCAGAGGAAAATCTGGTGGCATTAAGAAAAAATAATATCCAGCATGGACAAAGCCCTAGGCCTGATTCCTAGCACATCACACACCATCCCAGGACTCAGGAGGTAGTGGCAGGCATTCAAGGTCATCCAGGATTACATAGTGAGACCTTATCTCAAAACAAACAAACTTATTACTTTAGTAGTGATAGCATTTTTAAATAAACAATAAAGAAAATCTTATAAAATCATAAATTTGGAGGTGACTAAGAGGCCCTCCACGGACCTTCTAAATGTGAGACTATGGTCTGGAGGAATAGTAACCTGTGTTATAGAGTGAGCCAGAAGCCATAGAATAAACATGGACTTTGACATGATGAGACCTGGGTTTGGATCAAGGCTTTTTTTATACACTTTTAGTGATATTAGGAGAGACCCTTTTCAACTGTTTATCTTAAAAAGGTGATGACACTCACACCACAGAGATATTGTACAAACCAAATGTAAACACTTCTGAAGAAATTGCAATTAAAATTTTCACCAAAATGTAATGTCGTTATTGCCAGTACCAAAGTCATCAACCCTGCTGTGTTTTCTTCATTCCTGCTCTTTTCCCACTCCTTCCACACACACGTTCTACTATGAGAGCTCGAAGTGAGAATAAATGGATAACAAATAGAAATATGAACCACATAAATCAGAATTTGACATCATGAACCTGCATCAAAATTTCTATCATTGACTGGGAGTTGGAGGCAAAATTAAAAAATATTTGTCCTGTGCTACTTATGGCAGTTCTCATCTGTAATTCCAGGACGTGGAAGGCAGAGGCAAGACCAGGCTGGAAGTTCAAGGCCAGCCTGGTCTACCAGGTGAACTTCAGACAAGCCAGAGCTCTATGGCAAGACCCTGTCTCAAAACCAAATAAACAATCTTGTTCTTTTGCTCATTCATTCATTAAACAAATATTTGTTCTTTGCTGATGGTGACACTTCCCCATGAAAAAAGACCTCTTCCAAAGGATCTTCACCCCTCTCCAGATGAGGAGACCTGGGAAGGACCTGGTTCAGAGCCTCAATTCCTACAACCAATGATGCTATAAAACTACCATGGCCCAGGGTGGTGGTGCACACCTTTAACCCCAGTATTCATGATGCAGAGGCAAGCAAATCTCTGTGACTTAGAGGCCAGGATAGCCTATATTGCAAGTTCCAGGTTAGCCAAAGCTAGTGAAACCCTGTCTAAAAAACAGAGCTACCCGACTAGTCCTCAGTGGTCTTGAGCAATGCACACATGGCATATGTTTGTGATTTTATTTGCTTTAGTTTGCTTACAAAAAAGACTTCCTTATGGCATTTTCATGTTTTTAGCTTGGGTTGACCTTCCCTTCCCCTCCTCTCTCCTTGGCTGTGCTCCCCATCTCCTCTCAAACCCTTCCACTCAGTGTTCCTTTCCACTATCCTGTCACATGTGCTTTACTGCCCCCGCCCCCACAAACAGTTGTTCTGCGTGCTGTCTGTTCCACTGTGCCCCATGACAGACCACAGGAGGGAAAGCAAAGCTTACAAAAGGATGTTCCTACGGAGGAGGCACTGTGAACATGATTGGAAACATCCCCAAAACGCATTTTGGATAAAACAACAATGCACTGAGCATTCACCAAGTGTCAAGGGGACTGCTCTGGACAGTGAAAATGTAACTGTGAATTCAACAGACAATCTACTTTCAAGGAACTTAAACTCTAGGAAGTCTTGGAATCAGCCAAACTAGAGAAGTAACATGTGTCAGGTTAACTCTAAGAGGAAGAAATATTTGGGCAGTTTAAAGCTGGTCTCCAGGTTAATGATGGCAAGAGGCTGGACTTCCATGAATTCATGATAAAGACAAAGCATGGAGAAAGAGTTCTAGATGAAATAAGCTTAGCAGTGGGCTCCATGCTTTTCAAGGAATATGTAACTGACTTGGGAAATCTATGCAAAATACTGCTTTGAGTTTTTCTAAGCATAGGCCTTCCAAGGACAGGTCCAGAATCGGATGTTTCTTCTCAGTGCTCCACTCACATTTTAAACCACTCATTCAACCTGGGCAATAGATGGCTCCTTGATGTATATTGTTTATGTCCCAGTAAACTCAAAAGCTGAAAATATCATAAGTGAAGGCTGCATTGAAGTAACTGGGGATGTCAGTAGATGATGGTAGAGGGCTTATCCATCACATATGAAGCCCTGGGTTCTAGCTGTAGTAATGTAGAAAGAGAGTATGGTGACATTTGCCTGTAATCTCAGTGCTCAGGGGTGGAGGCAGGAGGATCAGAAGTTCAAGGTTATCCTGCTGTCCTTGGCTACTCCAGGCCAGTTGGCCTGGGAGCTTCTGATGGACTACCCTGTCTCTGGCTTACATCTCCAAGTGGGGTGCTAAAGTTACAGATCCATCCAGCTTTCTGCTCAGGCTCCAGGGAATAAACTCAGGTCATCATTAATTAGACTTTCACAGTTAGCATCTTCACCTGCTAAGCTATCTTGCCAGCCCATAAGATGCTTTGATTGAGTGGTCAGGAAAGGCCATTCTGATGATGTGACAGTTGAATGATGAGACGAAATAAACCACACCAAAGTTTGGGGATGGAGGCTAGTCAGAAAGAAAAAGAATGGGAAAAGGACATAAGGGGAGCAACTGGAATCCTGAGGACACAAGGCTGAGAACGTAGGGGAGAGGGGAGGAGAGAAAGCACAGTGGGCCTTGGCTACACTGAAGAAAACTGCTTGTTACAAAGGGGGGAAATAAATGATTGACAATAAGAAAAAGAACCTGAATTCTGATAAAAGCAAGACTTTTATTTTTCTTCTAAAACATTTCACTTGGAAGAAGTGTTCAAAGTTCAAACAGTTCTAGATTGTAGGCAGACTTCTTTATGTCCTGGCAGCTGCTCCCAAATAACCATTCAGAGCCTTAATATTAATCACAAATGCTCAGCCTATGGCTTAGGTTTGTTTTTAGCTAGCTCTTATAACTTAAATTAACCCATTGCTATCAATTTCTGTGCTGCTGGAGGTTTGTTTACCTCATTTACATCCTGCTTGCTCTGCATTTCATGGCATCTCCTCCAACTCTGCCCTTCTTCCCAGCATTCTCTCTGCCCTGAAAATCCTGTCTAGCCATCGGCTAACATCGGCTAACTTTTTTTGTTAACACTGAGAGCAACACATTCACAGTGTACAGAAGGATTATTCCACAGCACTAGATGAATGTGAAGAAACTCTTACAGTTGGAATGCAGTTGGCTAAAGCCTGGGGAGACAGCAGTGTTGTGTGGGTATGATGTCTGGGAAGCACAGATCTATGCTTGTTTACACACACCCACACACAGAACACCTTTGGTCTTACTTCAATACAATCACACTATATGTACTGTTCTGAGATTTGCTTTCTTTTAAGAACCATTGATTTTGTAACTGTGAACGCTGTTGTATAATCCTAGTTACACCTCTATAAAATGCAGCCGAAGGGTTATCTGAGACTAAGGACTATGAACGAGTTCATCTCTTGATTTGGGTTGCAGGATAAAGGCTGCCATTAATTTTGCCAACTACTTTTCTGAGCCATTCAATGTCTACATCTTCTATTTTGTGACTCTCTGAGGGCCTCAGGTTTACATGTCTGTGCTTTACTACCTTGCCTTATCTGGATGTCCCACTGCTGTCTACCGATGTG